CTCGAGGGTATCAACCAGTGAACGGAACTTCCCCATTTAATGAGCCTAAACGGACAGAAGTAGGACTCAGATAACAGAGTATGGAACACAAACAAGGAGTAGGCCAAACAAGATGATTAAGACAAAAAGAGGCAAGAGAAGAACAGTCGCAAAAGGACTTACAGAGATTAGAACAGTCGTAGCAGAGCAAGATCAGCGGTGAAAAAGTCTGAGCAGGGCACCAACGAGACTGGTTCTGAGGAACGGGAAGAGTCCTTTCTCTCTCTTTGAAACTCTCTAGAGGAACGAAAAGCCAGATGAAGCGATTTCTATTGATAGCTAAAGCATTAATTGCACAAGCCGGCGCGCAGGTACACGGAGCACGACCTTCAGTATGGAATCGACGCACTATCTCTGCACACCAATCTCACATCGCCACCTGTCACTATGAAAGGACGCATGCAGGAATTGTGTGTCAGGATTAAACCGTCACCAAGGCCGAGCTGGGGAAAACCGAAACGACGCGACACTTGGGAAGCAGAACAATAGCTCCCCTCAAGGGGAACCTTAGCGCGAGCTAGGGGGCAAATGAAGGGGCTAAAAATGAAATCGGTCGGGTCCAAACCTTGGGCCAGTCCAATCCACTGAAGCCCGAATCCAAGTGGGCTGGATGAGTATATGGGCAAACCAATTAAGCCCAGCTTCATGATCAACAGTTCACCCAAGTCCTCAAGCACTTGGGTCCAACCCACAGTGGAAAGGCTAGTCCAACCGTGGTGCTGGGCTAGGCCGAGCTGCGAGACTAAATCTACGGGCCGAACAGAAAATAGGCCGAGCCCATGCAAAGTTACCTGAATGGATAAGCCCATCTCCATGAGTGATCCCGTAAAAGGCCGAGACAGGGCATACTGATGCCGAGCTGAGGTATATCAGCACCGAACTGAGGAAACCTCGCAAGGAAACGTGGAAACTGTGAACGTGTGCATGTGCAGGTTGCCGCCTCAGCTGGTCCCCTACACCTAGAATCACGGAAGTTGTTGAACCAAAGGAATGTGGTTTGTTATCAATATGACTACAATGAGTATATGCATTCAATGACAACTACCAGGTGGTCCCCTCTCTTGAGCAATGCTAAAAGGACACCTGGCAGCATCCAAGCTCCATGAACCTACCTTGAGAAGCAAGCAAGGAACACTATATATACAACACGAACTTTACATTGAAGGTAACGAAGAAGACTGAACTGAACTATTCTAAGCAAAATCACGCATAGAGAGAGATTCAACTCTCTATACACTTCTTCTCCGATCACTAATTCCCACACCGGAGGGGTTATCCGGCCAACCCCGGCCGGGCAGCTCTAACAGTGCTTCTTGTTGCAGGAACCTCAGTTCTTGGATAGTCCAACTGAGTGCGGAGTCCCGATCCACTTTCATCTAATGCGGAATCCGGTACGCACACTCCACAAGGATTGGATCCCACAAAGATAGACCTAATTAAATTTGAAGGGAACAGCTAACGAAACCCCCACTGTCTTGATGCTAGATGATTACTTTTTTAAAAAAAAATGGAAACACGTGCTACTGCAACCCAGCTAAAACAATGCAGCCCCACTGGTTGAAACCACGTCGTTTCACATAAAAATAAATAAATAAATAAATAAAACAAATGGAGACTTATTTATAAGTCCTATTTCGGACACTTATGCTATGTTAAGTCCTATGAAATTTCTTATAGAGTTTGAAGTCCTATTTAGATAGGAATGTATTCCACAAGATTCTATGAGTTGTAAATAAATGGTAGTAATATACTATTATACATTATAATAGCAAAACCATATATAAGAAATTGAATGTTATAATAGAAAGTAACATTTTCACATTCAATTAAAAAAATCAAAATCCTCGTAAGTTTGCAAACCTTAACGTGACACGTTACGTTACGTTTATGTATATGTAGGTGTCACGTTACGTTTATGTAGGTGTCACGTTACGTTACGTTTATGTAGCTATCACGTCACGTTACGTTTATGTAGGTGTCACGTTACGTTACGTTATATTTATGCATGTGTCACGTCACGTTACGTTTATGTAATGTCCCATCTTATATGGTCACGTTACGTTACGTTTATGTAGGTGTCACGTTACGTTTCGCAAACTTAATCTATGGTAACATTTAATTTCCTATATATGGTTTTACCATTATTTATGATATTAACAACTAATATTGAAGGTAAATGTGTTAACAAACTTCACACAGGACTTATGGGAACATAAATTTTTTAGTAAAACCATATGTAGCATAAGTCTCTCTCATAAAACTTATAAATAAATTTCCCCAAAATAAAAGCAACCTTCTTCATGGTTTTAGAATAGGAGTGGCGATTAGTCCATTGACCCGTTTTGTTTGTTCGGTTTAGTCTTTTTTTTTTTTTTTTTTTAATATTCGAGAAGATTGTTATTGTTTTTGTTTTTAGGGTCGTGCTGGACTAATATTTTTAACTCGATATATTAATGGATTAGATTTGAAATTTATACTTTTAATTCAGTCTGACTCAGCCACATATTAAATTAATTAATTAATTATAATATTTTAAAATATGTATTTCTTGTTGGGATCTATATTTCATCTTGTTAATTTTATTGAAATTTTTACTTGTGGTGATGTGTGATTGAATTAATTTAAAAAATCTTTCAATTTAAAATGATGTTAGTATATTTATTTAAGAAATATAACATGTGATTGAATTTAATTCCAGAATATTTTTTTTAATATATAATATAGGTGAATTTGAAATTTATAATTATTTTTTGAATTGGACTTGGACAAATATAGAGACCCAATATTAAGCTAAGTTAGGCCAAGCTGGACTCAAACAAACACAAAATTCCTTATCATATAGTGCTGCCTGCCCAATCCCGGCCCCAACCCGACAAATGTCCACCCTAGCCTATAATGAATCTCTTTCTTAAATTGATTGTTATGTTTATTATTATTTTCTTATGAGAATTCTGATTTTGTTCACACAAATTATTTTTGATTAATTAAGTGGTGTCTTTTGTTAATACAGTTTGAAATGTATGACAAATTCATTTCCTTATCATGGAGACTGATTATTGAATTTTATACTATTGTTTGATTATGATTGTACAAAATTTAACTTTCTTCGGGTCTTAATTAACAAGTCAATGACTTTTTTTGTAATGTTATGAAAAATATTTTTTAATTAAGGGAAATTACACTATTAGTCCCTATAGTTTGTGGCTTGTGTCACTTTAGTCCCTGACTTTTCAATTGTGACACATTTGACCTTAAATTTTGAATCTTGTTTCAAATAAGGACAATTGAACATACCATTGCTTAATTTCAAGGGCAAAATCATCAATTTAATAAAATATAAACTAATTTGACAAAAATAAATGTCAAAAAAATATTTTAATTTTTTTTAAAAATTATTTCTACCCACCAAAAATAAAATTATGTAAAATTGATAAAAAATAATAAAAATTACATGGTTAAGTTTTAAAAATAAATTTTATATGATCATCATCTAAATACATAATAAAAATTAATTTGGTAAAAAAATAAATAAATGTCTAAAAGATTTATCAATTTTATATAATTTTATCTTTAGTAGCTAGAAATAATTTTTAAAAATTTAAAAATAATTTTTTCACATTTATTAATAAACGTCAAATTAATTTATATTTTATCAAATTGACGATTTTGCCCTTGAAAAATCCAATAGTATTTACAATTGTCCTTATTTGGAACAAGATTCAAAATTAGGGTCAAATGTATCACAATTGAAAAGTCATGGACCAAAATGACACAAGCCCTAAACTATAGGAACCATTAGCGTAATTCACCCTTTAATTAAGGAAAATTTATTATAATTTTTTTTAAGTGTTTATATTTCAATTAGTCCATATTATTTGGACATTTGATCTACCAAATCTTATTTCTCATATTTAAGGTATTTTATAGACATTTCTATCCTTAAAAATATTTTTTGAACGGTTAGCAATTTGATGATGTAAACATTTATATTTCACAATGTGAATATTTGCATTGACGTGTGAATGTTCGCATTGACGTGTGAATGTTTACATTGACAATATGAATATTCACACATGTTAACATTCACATTACGGAACATTTGCACTGTAAATATGAATATTATTAGGGGTCTTTTGGTAACTATGTCACCTATAGGACTTATTGAAATATAAAAAAATAATGTGGACTAAATGGAACATAAGTAAGTGAAAAGGGATTTATGAAAAAGTGTCCCTTTAATTAATAATTTTGATAATATTATTATTGTATTGAAAAGTAATTAAGAATTTTATTTTTTTTTTTTATTAACTTTATTAAATGAGAAATTCTAATAAGAGAACATTTGTAATTTTGATAAGAGACATGTATTCCTCATCCATCTATTTCAAGTGCCTCGTTTTTTTCCCATTTTTAAATTATTGAAATCTTCAATTCAATTAAAGAAAAGTACTGAAATTACATTTATGTTAACAATAACCAAAATGTTAAATAATCATCCAAATGAGTAGCAGAAATAATCATCAAAACAAATAGTAGAAATTGAATCTAAACCTGAATCTAAACGAGTAGTAGAAATAATCTTCAATTCAATTGAGGTTTTTACGTTGAAATGACAAATAAGTTGAAAATCTGATAAGTTGAACCAAGCACCAAACCTGTGTGAATGTGAAGTAAAATTACATAAGTTTCTGATCAAAACAAAGTAAAACTACATAAATTTCAAATAAGTGGAAGCAAATGGAGCCAGTAAAACCACCTGATATGCATGTACAAACACACATATGTTTACTTTATGAATCTGTTTCTTAGTCATAGTTGAAGTGTACCATGTGGCGTAGATTTTCCATAGGGTTATTTTTCATTTGATGTATGCTTGTTTCCACTTTGTTAGGAGATAGTGTCTTCAATTTCATTTCTTCACAAATTGACTCTAAAGTTCTAAGTGGATGATTAAACAGGAGATGATGGTTGAATTTGCAAAGAATGTGGCTGATTTTGCTGTTGCTAGTGGAAAAAAGCACATTGTTGTGCTTTCTAGCTTAGATTTTGGACGGTGGCAAACAATTGATATGTCAAGGTACTAAGAACTGCAATGTTTTCTTTGATCATTTTAGCTTCTTGACTACTCTCTCTCTCAATGTCTTTGTCCTTTTTTCCTGCAGTAACTACTTCATTTTATTTACATTTTTTCTTCGAGAAATTTACTGTTAGTATTTTAATTTTCATACTTCAAAATCCTGCAAACCACCCCAATTCATTTTTAATTGGTTATTAACACTATAGAAACATGGAAATTGGTATATAAAAATCACTCGACAAAATGCATGATTCTGCAGATATCAAACATTATGAGATTAAAAAATAACTAGAACTCATAAAAAGCAAAGATATTCCTTATTCTAACAATCATTCATGTAAAAAATGATTCAATGATCATCTTTTTGAACTCTTTTACATGTGCAGAAGTGCATAAACCAACTAGGTCCATTATTTAGAGTTGTCGTGGCCATTGACAACATTGCTTTGATTACTTGGTGATTTGTTTCAGTGGTCTGCAGATATTGTTGGAAATGGTTATAAAATTCTGGGTAAAATCAGAATTTTTTCCGAAGTTTTGTCTATTTTTTAGGTGGGCCTTAAGCGTCGATTTTCGCGGGTCAAAGTGGTAACACGTTCTATGCCGCGTTGTGATTCACATGGTATATTTGGTTGCTTAAAACCATTTACCGAGTGAATGGGAAATTGAAGCCAAAGTATGCTCCATGGAAATGGAGTTTTGGTGAAAAATCCTTAAAGGTTTGAATAAGGCTTGTCCCACATTGATTCGTTGGGAAGTTTTGAATGGGTTTATAAGGCATGGGTTTGGTACTTGGGGTGTGCCCCAAGGAGTACCCAAGTGTTTTAGAGAGGGAGGTTATAGGCAAAATGGGCTAGACCCATTGGACCCAAAAATCACCATACGCGCGCCGCCGTCCGTCCGGTCGGGTAGGCTGGACTGGGCGCGGGTGCGTGGTGTGAGGTTGGGTTGAGCTTGTCCGGCCCAATACCTATCTTTTTGGGCCAAAAACATTTGAATTCAAATTAATTCCAGAAATAAACTGGTCCGGTTTTACTGTACATCCAGACAGGGCCCTTCCTGTTTTTATCTGTTCAAATTTAAATCCAGCAGGTTTGTTTCTGTTTATTCAAATTGAACAGGTTTCATACCTATTCAAACAGGTTTTGCACCTGTTTAATTCAAACCCAACAGTCATAATTTCTCCTATAAATAGACATGTCTCTCATTTGTTTTTCATCAATAATTTTCGTAGCATGGCATATAAAAAAATAGGACACGTTTTGACTAGTATTGGAGACGTGTCGGGAAGTGTCCAATAAGGCCTAGTTTGGAAAGACTAAATAAGTGCACTTTTTGACTTTTTATGAAATATGGGTTGGATTTGGGTTGGGTTTGAAGTGATGTGTTAGAGAGGTGATGTGACTTAAATAGGATGATGTGACTTAAATAGGATAGTGACTTTTTGACTTTTTGGATTTTTTGAAAGATGCCAAACTTGGCCTTAGTGTGTTCGCAAGGCAAACAATTTGTAGTGTTGCTATTGTTTGTAGTTGATCATTTCATCTTGGGAGATAGACGTCCACATTCTGAAAGCACCGTGGAGAGGATGAATCTGTCTTAAAAACACAGTGTCAAACACTGGACTTGATCAGATTATTATTCAAGAATTAATCAAGTAAGTTATTTAATTTATTTTCGGTGTTATTATTATTTATTTAAATTAGATTTTAATTTTGTTTTTGTAACAAAATAAAATCTGTTTTTATTTATTTATTTTTATTTCTAGTTTGATTTTTGTAATCAAACAAATTCTCTCATTTCTTTTATTTCTTTATATTCTGATTGTTGTTTAGTACACATCAGAATTTAAACTATTTAAATACAGTGAAGATTGTTTAACAATCTGAAGACAAAACTATTTTTGATATCTTCATTGTATTTAATTTTCTGTAATTTCATAAAGGCATATTCTGGTTGGAAAAACAAATCAGTGTATTTGGTTTGAGTTTTCTGAATTAAGTTTTTTGAAAACTGACTTTTTTAGTTTTCGTATTTTTTTGTTTTTAGTGAATATTTTTAAAATTTTAAACATTTTTTTTACTTTTTTAGATGCACCTTACTTAGATGTATCTAAAAAGTAAAAAAATTGTGAAAAAATATTTTTAAAAATTAATAAATACATAAAAATATAAAAAAAAATGTACTGAATTCTCATATTTTTTTTATATTTTTGGTATTTAGTGAATTTTTAAAAAGTTTTTTTCAATTTTTTTTTACTTTTTAGGTATATTTATGTTAGGTATGTCTAAAAATTTTAAAAATTGCTTAAAATATTTAAAAAATTCAGTAAAAACAAAAAAAATACGAAAAATAAAAAAGTAGAATTTTCTGAAAAGTGTTTTTGAAAAGTGGTAATCAAGCATAGTGAATAGTGTTTATGCTATTTGACAGATAGTAGTAATATACTATCTCTTTTCTTTGATAACTAGTAGTACTATACTGGTGTCATTAACAATTGCAGAATATTAATTTGTGTTACAGAAAATTATTGTGGTATTTTATTTTTCTAGCTTTAGTAATAAGAAAAATAAAATTATTTTGTGTTATAATTTATTTTCTGGTTTTAGTAACTAGAAAATTAATTTGCGTTTTAATTTTTCTGATTTTTGTAATCAGAGATTATGGCTACTACAACTGAAACTGCATCTGGTAGTGGTACTTCGATTGTTACACCAACACCGGTCCCTATCCAGAACCATGTTCATGTACCAATCAATCATGGAGAAAAATTGGAAAAATTTAACGGTACCGAATTTAAGAGATGGCACTAGAAGATGTTGTTCTATCTTACAACTCTTAATTTGGCCCGGTTTCTCCATGAAGAGGCTCTAGCGCTTAAAGAGGGTGAAAGTGATCGGCAAGTTGTTGTCGCTGTAGATGCTTGGAAACATTCAGATTTCCTGTGCAGAAACTACATCCTCAATGGCCTTGACAATATGCTGTATAATGTTTACAGTCCTCTGAAGTCAGCAAAAGAATTATGGGATTCTTTGGAGAAGAAATACAAGACAGAAGATGCCGGCATGAAGAAATTTGTCGTCGGTAAATTTCTGGATTTTGTTATGGTAGACTCCCAAACGGTAATATCTCAAGTTCAAAGTCTTCAGATAATTTTGCATGATATTCATTCAGAAGGTATGTCTATTAGCGAGTCTTTCCAAGTCGCTGCTTTAGTGGAAAAGTTACCACCGGCTTGGAAAGATTTCAAAAATTATTTAAAACATAAACGCAAAGAGATGACTATGGATGAACTTATAGTAAGACTGAGAATTGAGGAAGATAACCGTAAGGCTGAAAAGAGGAATGGGAAAAATCCCATTGAGTCCAAGGCTAATGTGGTTGAACAAGTTCATAAACCACATAACAAAAAGAGAAAGTTTACTGGAGATGGTCCTAAATAAGGCGATAGCAACAAGAAGTTCAAAGGAAAATGCTATAACTGTGGCAAGACTGGACATCGAGCTTTTGACTGCCGTCGTCCTAAAAAGGATCATGGAAGTACAAGTAAGAAAACCACCAATCAGGCCAATGTAACAGAATTGAATTACATCTCTGACAGAGTGAATGACATCAACCTCTCTGCTGTGGTGTCTGAGGCTAACTTGGTTGAAAATCCCAAAGAGTGGTGGGTTGACACAAGAGCAACTCGTCACATATGTGTGGACAAGAAGATGTTCACTACCTACAATGAGGCTGCAAATGGTGAACAACTTTTCATGAGAAATTCTTCTACTTCTACTGTGGCTGGACAAGGGAAAGTGATCTTGAAGATGACATCAGGGAAGGAACTGACCCTCAACAACGTACTGCATGTACCTGACATCCGGAAGAATTTAGTTTCTGGTTCTTTGTTAAGTAAAAATAGTTTTAGGCTTGTTTTTTAGTCTGATAAATTTGTATTAACAAAGAGTGGTATGTATGTTGGAAAGGGATACATGAGTGATGGTCTCACTTTAAGTTGAATGTAATGACAATTGTGCCGAAAGTTGCTATGAATAAGAATAACACATCTTTTGCTTATATTCTTGAGTCAAATTTATGGCATGGTATAAAATTCTGGGTAAAACCAGAATTTTTTCCGAAGTTTGGTCTATTTTTTAGGTGGGCTCCGAGCGTCGATTTTCGCGGGTCAAAGTGGTAACGCGTTCTATGCCGCGTTGTGATTCATGTGGTATATTTGGTTGCTTAAAACCATTACCGAGTAAATGGAAAATTGAAGCCAAAGTATACTCCATGAAAATAGAGTTTTGGTGGAAAATCCTTAAAGGTTTGAATAAGGCTTGTCCCACATTGATTTGGTGGGAAGTTTGAATGAGTTTATAAGGCATGGGTTTGGTACTTGGGGTGTGCCCCAAGGGGTACCCAAGTGTTTTAGAGAGGGAGATTATGGGCAAAATAGGCTAGACCCATTGGACCCAAAAATCACCACACACGCGCACGCGCGCCGCCTTCCGTCCGGTCGGTCAAGTGGGGTGGGCTGGGCTGGCCTGGGCTTGGGCGCAGGTGCGCGGTGTGAGGTTGGGTTGGGCTTGTCCGGCCCAATACCTATCTTTTTAGGCCAAAAACATTTGAATTAATTTTATTTTTTGGTAACATAAAATCCAGAATTCAAATTAATTCTAGAAATAAACTGGTCCGGTTTTACGGTACACCCAAACAGGGCCCTTCCCGTTTTTATCTATTCAAATTTAAATCCAACAGGTTTGTTTCTGTTTATTCAAATTGAATAGGTTTCATACCTGTTCAAATAGGTTTTGCACCTGTTTAATTCAAACCCAACAGCCATAATTTCTGCTATAAATAGACAAGTCTCTCATTTGTTTTTCATGAATAATTTTCATCATTCCTTGCTGCAAATTCGTCTCTGCATTTTGCTGCATTTATTCTATTATTTTTCCTTATAAAAGAGTGTATACACTAAGTGTATTCGTTGAACAAATAAATTGTAGTGCTACATT